GAAGCATTCGGATCTGAAGCAGTTGTCTGGTGTCCCCACTATGTGGTGGCCAGACATAGATGTGGACACGACTGCCACTACTTCCCGCGTCAATGATCACCGAATACTGCAACTCATGTCTTAAGTTCACTAAATCGTCGTCGAAGTGATGGCCGATAATAATGTTTGTAGTCTTGGAGGAGGTCTGCAATATCTTCACTGAATATATGATAATAATTGTCAGAAACAAGAGAAACAAAAAGAAACGAAATTTGGTTGAAATGAAGCGATGATAGGGTCGGAAACAGACCATCAAATAGACACACTTCAGGTGACCGTCCATTCTGTGGACATAGACATCGTTATTATCATCAAATGGTATCAAATGAATGCCAATATATTTACCGATAGTAACGATCTCTCCATCGGTTTTGTTGTATTAAAAATGAATTCATTGTTCAATGGATTGACTAATACTATGATTCACTAAATTATAACTAAAATAATAACTAATTATATTTAATACAAATAAATGGTCACTAATGGGTAAATGTATCATTTTGTGAGACAGGTCAATCTGGTTGCACCCAAATTATGTGTTAATACTTTCAAACAAATACTAATTGTCATCATTTGACACATTTTATGATAAATGACAAAATCGTGTGAAATGAGAGAAGAGAATAATATTATGATAAAAAGAATGCACTAAAAGTAATTGATTGATAAGAATAGTGAACATTCAATGATATGATATATTGTACAATATGTATGAGTAAACAATAGGTCCACAATATTGCCCAATAAAAACTCCTATTCTTTCATATCTATCATAAGGTCTGAAACAGTTTGGTGTTACTTCTCAACCAATCAATTATTTCTCTTTCTTATTGATTGAACTGCTTTACAAAAAGTTTAACATTTATCAATATAATGTAATGAAATATTTTTCATATCATAAGCTAAGATTTTTGTACTATTTGAGTATATGTTAATATGGAATAAGAATTTTTAAGTTATATTAGAATATTCTAAAATTTGATGATTTTGTTTAAAACTATCTTATATTAATATTACTTTTGAATATAAGATTTTCTTATGTCATTTTTCATAATGGACATAGGATAAAATATAATTTCTGAATAGCTAAACTTATATAAATAGTTCTGTATATGTTATATAAATGGCATAAAGTTTAGCTATTCAGAAATTATATTTTATCCTATGTCCATTATGAAAAATGACATAAGATAATCTTATATTCAAAAGTAATTTAAATGCAAAATTTCAACATTAAAATTAAATTCTTTAAAAATAATAAGACTGTAGTTTTGAGTAAAATATTGACTTGAATTGAATTTTTTTCTTATTTAGACACGAAATATACAACCAAAGGCTGATTTCCAATACAATCGAACAAAATATGCGCTCAAATTATGAATAAATTAATTTATTTGTTTTAAAAGGAAAAAATATAACAATATAGACATTTTAAATCAATAGTAAATTAATCCGTTTAACATATATAATATAAAATTTAAAATATTTAGTTTAAATTAAATCAATAGTAAATTAATCCGTTTAACATATATAATATAAAATTTAAAATATTTAGTTTAAATTAAATCAATAGTAAATTAATCCGTTTATTTTATATATTATATTTTAAATTTTATAAATCAAATTTAATTTATTTATTATTTTACTTTATTTTAGATTTAAAAACATATATTAATACCCAAAGACTCTACAAACCCTTATTTTCCCTCAAAATTCAGTTCAAACACTTCTTGCTCTGTCCGTGGATTCAAATCAGTTCCAGTGTTCAAATCATGCAAACAGTGGTTATCTAATCTAAAATTCAACTCTTTTCTGGCATATTCTCGAAGACTTCTGCAAAACATTTCATTACCCGTCCATCCAATGGATGCCAAACATAACTGCGATTTGGGACAAACAATTAGGTCGACCCGACATAACTTCCACTCTCTTTGAGTGCCATTTCGGACGAAATCAAAAATTGCTTTTGTATTGTCTCTATCAAAGTATGGTGTCTTCAGTTGACAATTATTTTCATCGGCCGGTAGTTTGAAAAGTGTAAACATTTTGTCAAAATTATCTAAAGTATTATCTTTACTCTTAGTATCGGAGTTTGAATTTTCAGATTTACTAAAATTTGCCAACAAAATCAAATCCATTTCCTTTAATTGCTGGTAAATGAGAGACAGTAGACCCGTCTCCCGGCCTTCTTCCTTATGAGTGATCAGAATGTCGACGTCATGTCCACACTCTTTGCCGCGACTGAAACCACCGGTTAAATGGATTTCAATGTTTGTCGAATCGTTTCCAAGTTTTAAATCAATTGCTTTTCTGACTAAAGATATAATTTGATTGGATTCTGATTTCGTGACAAAAGCATTCAAATCCGCATAGAAAGCCATCCCATACAAGACTCGCAAACTTTGATTCTTGAGAACAGAAGTCGTGTTTATCACGTCATCCAAAGATCTCAGCCCCAAATCATACCATTTGACACGTCAGAAACCAGGCTAAGGTATCTATAATCATTTATTTCAGTAACAGAATTTGGTTAGTCTCAATGCTTAACACAGCTGAAGTGCTGACTGAGGAAGTAGGTCTTAGAGAACTTAATAAAAGATTGAGTGCTTTCCGATGTCCTTAAGACATGACACTTCATCCACATGTTTGACAGCAAATGGAAGCGACTTGAGAACAGCGGCCGCCTTCTTGAAGCCTAAATAGCGAACCGTATCAAACAAATGTGCCCTCAGTTTGGCCTCTTTGGCCATCACTTCCAATGGTTCCTAAAAGATATAACAATTAAGTTATAATAATCTACAGGTAATAGTCGTCAACAAACTTACCGAGAGTTTAGAGTTTTGATGATTAAGTGAACTCATTCGCTGACAAATATAATCACCATTTGATGACTCTTTTGAACATTCATTGGAAGACTTGGAATCAATTCCCTTCTAATCACAGAATTTTTAAAAATATTAAAAATATAATTAAAATACAAGACTTAGTGTTGTATTGAATACATGTCTGCGTTTAAGGCGATAATCGGTGTTAAAAGGCATGAGTTGTTGGGATTGCATACTATCGGTGAGCCATCGGGTGTTCACCACAACTGCCTTCAACTCTCTTATATCACATCCAATCGATTCCATCACTTGTTCCTCGTATTCAAAGTCAGATATTATATAATCAATGGATTCACTGATAAACACATCAAAATTATATAAATAAGTGAAAACTTATTGAATTGAATGTGAGATATAGTGTACCGGAAGTGGTCACTGACTACAAGACCCAAAGTTTGAGCGTTTCTCTCGAGAATTGTCATCCGTTTCCTATGAATGCCATCTCTGATGAAGAATACATTCGTGCCATTCGTCTGACACTCACTTCTCCTGCGTTTACCACTTATTTCACTCATTAGACACTTGAAGAATCACCTTGCTTATTACGGTAATACATGCATCATTTGAGTCCAACTTTATAAATAGAAAACTTTAAAATAAATGGTATTATAATACAGAATATACGATGAGTTGCATTGAATAGCACTACACTTCATGTAAACTATCAAATCAATTATAACCACAAATTAGTGCCAATTGTCTGACATAACAGTCAACTGATGCTAAAAGGTGTCAATCAATGCATTGCGTGTTCACTAAAGGCTTTAATTACAAGTTTTGTCAACAATTAACAGCCCTTTAAATGTTTGTATGAATCACTCATATATTATGTCCATTCATATCATCACAAATGCATTCAATGTAAATAAGAGGTCACTAATGAATGCAAACATAATTTATGTGTAAAAGTAGAGTATTTTTGATTGAGAAATGCATTGAGTATTGAATCAGATGTTAGATTACGTGTAGATATGAATGAATTGATTGCTTCACCATTGAATGAGTAATTCATTGATGAATTCATAGCACTTTCACAGCAATTAATACACGAGTTCTCCATTAAACTCATTAATCGTATCATTCATTCATTCATACATTTATCATAAAATGTGTCAAATGATGACAATTAGTATTTGTTTGAAAGTATTAACACATAATTTGGGTGCAACCAGATTGACCTGTCTCACAAAATGATACATTTACCCATTAGTGACCATTTATATGTATTAAATATAATTAGTTATTATTTTAGTTACAATTTAGTGAATCATAGTATTAGTCAATCCATTGAACAATGAATTCATTTTTAATACAACAAAACCGATGGAGAGATCGTTACTATCGGTAAATATATTGGCATTCATTTGATACCATTTGATACGATTTGATGATAATAACGATGTCTATGTCCACAGAATGGACGGTCACCTGAAGTGTGTCTATTTGATGATCTGTTTCCGACCCTATCATCGCTTCATTTCAACCAAATTTCGTTTCTTTTTGTTTCTCTTGTTTCTCACAATTATTATCATATATTCAGTGAAGATATTGCAGACCTCCTCCAAGACTACAAACATTATTATCGGCCATCACTTCGACGACGATTTAGTCAACTTAAGACATGAGTTGCAGTATTCGGTGATCATTGACGCGGGAAGTAGTGGCAGTCGTGTCCACATCTATGTCTGGCCACCACATAGTGGGGACACCAGACAACTGCTTCAGATCCGAATGCTTCACAACCAGTTGGGCAAAGAGGTCTTCACGTCCATCACTCCCGGCCTCTCGTCCGTCGCCTCCAACCCCTCCTCTGCCTCGCTATACATCGAACCTCTTCTGCGGTTTGCGGCCAAAAACATACCCAAAGATAAGCACCGGTCGACCCCTCTCTTCATATTAGCGACGGCTGGTATGCGTCTTCTGCCTCTCGAGACACAGACCGCCATTTTGGACGACTTGAGGACAGATATCCCCAAAAATTTCAGTTTTCTGTTTCCCGCAAATCATGTCGAAGTGATTACCGGCAAAGAAGAGGGCATTTATTCGTGGATTGCCATCAATTACCTGATGGGACGGTTCGACCACTCCATCGAAACGGGTCCCATCACTACCATTGAGTTCAATCAGTACCGCATCCGTAGAGCGCAGACCATCAGTATGTTAGAGATGGGCGGCGCCAGCGTTCAGATCGCCTTCGAAATCACTTCTAACGAACAGTTGGAAGGACTGCAGAGGAAGCACTCGAAGGATGAGCTCAATGGACTCATCTCTGAGTTCAATCTGGGCTGCAATGAACACGACCAAGAGCATAATTACAGGATATATGTGACCACGTATTTAGGTTTGGGCGCAAACATCGCTCGCAATACTTATGTCAACGCTTTGATTTCGTCGACAATTAATTCAAACACTGATAACACAAGTCTCGCGTCCAAAGAGATCCAAATATACGATCCGTGCCTTCCCATCGACAGCACCGAGAGGTTTAACATAAGCCGGCGCTCGAAGAACACTAACGGGAGCACCACTTTCATAAATGTGCTCAAAGGAAGCGGCGATTATAATGCCTGTGCTCTCAAACTAAAGCAAATGCTGGACCCGAGCTCTGAATCTCAGCGCCAGTGCACTAACACTAACACTAATACTAGTTGTCCGCTCAGACAGCTCTCGAAAACGGATGCGCCGTTCGATAACTCAGAGTTTTACGGCTTTTCCGAGTTCTGGTACACAATGGAAGACGTGTTACGACAGGGAGGGCCCTATCGGAGCAAAAAGTTTCGGGACTCGGCTTCCAATTACTGTTCGACGAGTTGGTCCGTAACTCAGGACCGATTCCAACGCAAACTGTATCCGTTGGCCGATAATAACCGACTCTTTTACCAGTGCTTCAAATCCGCGTGGGCTTCGAGTGTATTACACGAGGGCTTCAAAATGCCGTCCAGTTATACGAAATTCAAGTCGGCCTCCACTGTGAACCACCAACAGGTCCAGTGGACGTTAGGGGCACTCCTATACAGAACCCGGTTCTTCCCTCTCAGGGCTATAGAGCAGCAGTACTCGGGAGTGAGTCACTCGACGACAAACACATCATATTATGTGAATTACGCGATCTTTATATTATGTATGATTGCTGTCGTCGTCTGCATTATTATTTATTTAAAACATTTACATAAAATGGTCAACACTTCTAGTATTTATATGAATGACATATTGGACGCAAAACTAATGCACCCCAACATTGATAGCAATAACGATAGCGATTCAGTGATGATTCAAATACCACAGGAAAGCAAACCACTAATCGATTCCATGTCTTTCAGATGATAACATCTGTTTAATATTCTATACAAACAATTGATTTTTGTGTTTAAAGTTTAGTCAACAGTTTTAGGTTAAAAATAAATTCAATTACTTTAATATATTCTCTAATTATATAATAATTTATTAAATTATAGCACTTATTATGCTATCACTTCGTCTCCTTGTTTTCAGTTTGTTTCACATTTTGTTTGTCTAACTCTTTGCTTAACTCTTCCTTTTGTCTCTTCTTTTCGTCTTCGAGTTTCTCCTCTTGAATCAAAAGATTCATTAAGTCTTTGATTTGATTGGACGACACGTTTACGTTCTCCCGACCCAACAGTTCCAACACCTGATCATGGATTCCATCATCAGTTTATATCAACTATAAGACTAATATCACACAAATCAATGTAAACTCACTTTAACCACGTGTTCCACTTCGACACTTCCGTCGTGATCGACGTCCAGATTGTCCAACACTTCCAGAATGCGCTCCAATTTCGTTTCGTCGCCCACTTTCTGCAATCGACTGATTGCACCCAACAGTTCATTAATGCTAATCACATCACCCTTTTCCTGATCAATAGTCTTCCCCTCTTTGGACAGAATATCGATTTTTTGTTGAAGGGATTCCTTCTTAGACTCCAATCCAGTAAACAAATTATCCATTTTGTTGACCATTTTGTCCACTTTATTCCTCAAACGTTTGGCGGCTTTGCTTTCCTTCAGCTCTTTCTGACCCGTTTGGACACTAATCTCTTTGAACTCTTGGATGTCTTCCTTATAGTCTTTGAGTTCCTCTTTCAAGTCATCCAACTCTTCCTTTTCAATCAACAACTGGTTCTTCTCTTTGGCAATATTTTCGAGCGCACTCTCTATCGATTCGATGTCTTGTTTCGATAGTTCTTTGAGTTCTTGATCTTTGAGTTTCTGTTTGAGTTGTGTCTCTAAATCAACCGCTTTGTCAATAAGGATCTCCTGATCCTTGAGCTTCTGTTTGGCCACCTGTTCCTCCTCTTCCTTCTCGCGTTTGATGGCCTCCTCTTCCAATCGGATTAATTCGATTTTCGTCTTATTGTCGATCTTTCCTTCCGTTTCACCGATTTTATATCGCGCTTCCGTTCCGGCGGAGTCCGGCAATGACTGGATCGTTGCCTTCAGCTGATCCGCGGCCGCAATATTTTCGGGCAAATATAGGAGTCGAGAGAGCAGTAAGAGTGAGGGCGGGATCTTCTCGTTAAGACTTAGTTCCAGCCATTGGGACAGTTGTGACCGAAGTCTGGTCTCAGATATACCCAATGCTCTCATACCTCGGGCACGACACGCCTGTATGAGCTCTGGTACTGTGAGACTGTCAACGCCTTCCTTTTGTATCATCTGGTCGTCCGCGTGAAGACTTCGCAGTTTCATTCGCAACTGAAATCTCAAGAAATTGTTTGTTCCGATGGGCTGTAGTTCAAGCAAACGACAGAGGGCTGAGAGTTGGGGTCTGGAGAGGGAGTCCAGTGTTATCTCGTCCTCAAATAGCTTCGAGAAGTTCATAATGTCTTTATTGCTCGCCTGTTCTCCAGTATTTCGGATCTGAACGCAAAATTGCATTCATTTAGAAATCAAAACAATTAGTGATTACAATGTTTGCAATACTTTGTTGAAGAAGAGGGCGAACTCCTTGGCTTTGTTGGAGTGGGACTCCCCCTTAGCCTGTAGTGTCATCTCGTCGAGAGTGATCTGCAAGAACTTTGCCATTTCCAGCTTCAACTTCAACTCCTTTTTCATTTTAGTTTCCTATCGATTCAATCGAGACGTTAATTACAGTGAAATACAAACAAATATAACGAAGGGATGAATACCTGTTCCGAAGAGGTCTGGAAAGTCGACGGAAGCATTCCCGGGAAGAACTTCAGGAATACGGGTAACAATAGCTCCATAAACGGCACGATTATGAAGACAGAGAAGGGCACCAAACGGAAGATATCTGATGTGGTCCTCACGAGCTGTCGGTGCTCTCGACGGGTGAGGTCTCCGCCGTTCAATACTTTATATATGAGTCGCGAACCGACGCCGACATCAATGAAGAGAAGTCTGAATCCGTGGTAATAGTGAACCAACTCATCCCAAACCCTTTTGCCTAAACTTCGTTTGGGCGGCACTACCGGTGCGGGCACTTCGAGCGCCGGCTGTACGGTGGCGATGGTCTCAGTCTTGGAGGTCTCGACGAGTCTGTCCTTCTGTTCCTCCCGAAGAGCTTTAACCGTTTGCTCCACTTTTGATGAGTCCTTCTCGTAGAGGATGGCATTCGTGTGAAGACATCGCCGTTGAGGAGACAATACACTTGACATCCATTGCATGTCATCCACACCTCTTCGGTGACCAGAATTCAAGTCATTTCTAATAAATATATTATTATTTAAATGCAATTCATGTAAACGTTTAGTCCGTAATGAGTGGTCGGAGTTGTGATAATTTGCACACAATTTACACAAATTATGGTTAATTTGATTATGAATTAAATGATTGGTTGACAAGTATTTGTGATAAACCAATGGCCGGGACTTGACGTGAAGTAACACTAATTTATTGGACTTTTTGGCCAAAATTCTCATCAATTCATACATTGTTTTCAATCACTTTTGCTAACAATTGATTGATTGATATAAATGTGGGATTTACTGTCAACTGTTAGAAAAAGTGTCTCAAACTTCAAACAAATCAATTAAATAATGAGTCAATCGTACGATCATTTGAAAGACATTTACAATTAATTAATCAAAATAGCGGTTAATAAGTGATTGAGTGATGCATTCAATGCTGTAATCAATGGATAACGCAATCACTGAATGCCTCAACACTTTTGCTTTCATAGTAAGCAAACATTTAACAAAACAAAACACTATTATAACCGCATTTAAAGCCTATCATACGTCTGCTGTCCAATGCATTGCTGTCGCACTAGTATTGGCGCCACTAATGTATTCAATGCTTACGACCAGTCATTTGAATGTATGAATGCATTGTACATGAAGTAGATTTTGATGCAATATTCTCCACTTATTGAACGAGTGATTCCTATTATAAGACACTCATCACAAAGTACGGACACATTTGAGGGGAGGGAGGCATCGGTTACTGTAAGCCCCACATCGCTGACCAAAGCCCTCCTGGTGCATTTAATTGTATGCTTGGTTCATTTACTAATTTTCAATCAATTAATTTTAAATATTTGTTTGTTTGTAAACTCTGCTAATACTTTGTAAAAATGATCATGACATTGTGCTGAACATATTCAACAAGTTAATTTGTTACACCATTAGCTAATTTACAATAGATATTTCTGATAAATTTGCCAAGATTATTGAAATGAATATGTAAATATATTGTACGAATATAATTAATATGATTTGAGACTCATTAACATGTTTTCATTATATCGGAAAGTCTATTATATAATTAATGTCAACTTCAAAGCACTAACCATTCATTGCCAAGAATTCTGACTTCAATTTGAGATTAAATTATAAGATCGTGTTGTCATTTAGATTAACAGAGGTTGTTAGTGCTTAAAATTATTATTTTCAAATAACTTGTCGTTGAAAATGTATTTTTAAAAGATATTTCATTTGTATCTTATGAGCCATTATAATTTATAATGATTATATTGAAATATAATGGAAAATATATTTAAATTTAATTAGAATACTGTATTATAATGCAATCACAATTTATTTATTTGTCGATTTTTTTGAAAATTTGAATTTCATTTTATACACCGAATTATTTATTTAATTTAACACAAATTCTCTCGATCATTAAGTCCGTCAAATTACTTAATTATAAATGACAGTAATAACCTTATTGTAAGAATATTCTTTATAAAATAGAGTATCGGTAAGGATTAATTATTTCAATATAATATAATGGATATAACTGTAAACATTTAAAAGTTTTAATAGAATACAGTTAATATTTTTACTGTAGTGGAATATTTATTTTATTAAGTTATAGACGGAAAAGTTACGAAGTTTAATTTTCATTCCAGGATATTTAACTCACACATTACCCCACTTGTTAGTATATTTACCTTCTTTAAATTAGTATCAACTTATGACATACTACGGTATAGTATGAAATCAAAAATCTTACAGTTTGCATCTACCATACTCAAACAAGTATTCATAGTATTAATAACTGAATTATAGTTTGGTGATAGAGGTTAGCCACGGGAATAGTGAGTGACACTGTTGTGATGGCTCTGTAATGTACTAAACGTCTAATGGTTTTAGAACTTAATGTACGGAAGGTTGCGTTTACTAATCCAAGGCCGGTGTATCATACTTATGTAATTCATAATTATTACAATACTGTATCCAAATTGATAAACTATCAATATTAATGATAATTAACTCTTAAGTTTGAGTTCATTCACAACTCTTTCTCATCTTATCTTTATTTATACAAAGTATCGAAAAAATAGATTATTGTATATATTATATCAAAAATTGAATTTTTATTTTATATTCAAACAATTCATATAATTTTCTAAATAAAATTGATTTGAAATTATGCTAAAAACATATAACTTGTAGTATAATGACTTAATTGGTTTTAAAGTGTTTTCACTTTTTTTTATAAAATATTTCAAGTATTTTAAAAACACTTATAAACTGACGATTAACTGCAGTGAACGTCAAAAATGATAACTAATAGTAAAACTTCAATAATTAATAACTTGTGTGTCGTATAATTGAGTTGTTTTGAATGTCTAATAATTGTTTGATTCATTCATTGAAAAGCAATTATCTATAAATAGAGAAATCGACGGCTATTTAATCGTTGAGTAGATTCTGTTGTCTGGAGTACTGGTGATCACATTTGGATGTGTGAGAGACGGCACCAATGAATCACTTGTTTTGTTATCCCATTTAGCTTCAGATGTGTTCAGATGAGAGGCAAAGTTAGGCAAATGGGTTGCACTGGAGATTGGGTGAGACTTCTGACCATCTCTTGATGTGATCAGATACTTAAACAACTCATAGACAGACCATGAGATAGCAGTGGCAGGCATTGAGTACAGCACTCGGGCCTGAAGTCCCTGAAAGTAACCCTTAGGTCCACAGCACTGGTATATAGTAGAGGCGGCGTTCCAGAGGCCGGTCACACTGTTCTGCTTCGATGTCCGCAACGTCTGCTTCTCCTGAGTGTTGAGAAGGGTTTTGCAGACATCCAGAGGCGTTGTGGCGGCCGCTGCAAACCCACCCGCGATGGCACCCGATATCATATGAGCCTTTGGGCTGTAAGTCCTCTCACTATTAGTCAACTCTTGCATAAACTCATATGTAATGAAATGCAAACTCTGTGTCGGAATATTCATGGAAAGGGATGTCATATAACTTCGATAGAAAGCACGCAATCCTTCCTTCCGGTAGACATCGAGAAAGCAATTCAAAGCACTCTTATAGGGACTGTTGAAGACCTGCATCCGTTGCTTCACCACTTCCGCCGGATTCATCACAGCGTCGTGTAATATAGTGGCCAAACAGCCGGCGCCGCCTAAAACACAAACAGACAGACTGTCAGCAAACATAGCAACAGATGTATTGTTTGACTGATTGGTGCAAACCTTGAGCGATGGGGTGATGGGCGCCGGTCTCTGATCCGCTCAATACTCTCTTCATCTTCTCATAGCAGGAGAAGTAGAGGGCGTGTGCGGGTCCGGCGCCCACCGACACGGCCGACACACCTTTGATGGGACGCAACAGACCCTCGTGTCTGACCATCTTATACAGCGCTTCCGGTACTGATCGGTACGACGCCTTCGGGTTTGGGTACAGGCTTTGCATCCGAGTCTTCAATACACAACATATCAATGCATTAGATCTCAAGACAAATAAATGGTTGACAACAGATCCTATGGTGTCTTAACAGTAACCATAGGACAATGGATTGAAAACAAACAAAGAGTGCATACTTTGACTGAATCCAACGGATACATCACCACGTGCTCCATAATGCCGGCCACAGCGCCGGCGATCATATGTGTCCGCACATCACTCGTCGGAAGTGATTCGTACTCCTCTTCCATCACATCAACGGACACTTCTTCACTCATTCACACAATTGATGCCAACTTGGGGTCAAATGTTCACATCACAGGTATATACACCACAAACATGTTATTCATATTAGGGATCAATTAGAAGGCTTGTAGTGATCAGTGATATCTGCAAAACACATTCAAAGACCCTGAAGATGGACTCAAATGATAAGATCAAATGTTTGGCCAAATGTGATACTGTATTGTCTTGAATGTGGTTCACATGAAATGGACACAAATGATGGGATGAATGGTTTGGTTGGATGTCTTGGTGTCACGATTTGGCCCAAAGTGTGAACAATTGGTTTGAAGAGAGGATTTAAAGCGATATTTAAGTCATATTTAGCACTAAATCTCATATAAATCAGTGAATGTTGTGAAACACATGTCAGCCCTTCAGACATGACTTTCTACGCAAACTCTCATTCATTTTACTCACATTTGCTTTCAATTCAATTCAATGAGATTCACGAATAATGCAGTCTTTCTGTAATTTACAAATTATTTTTAATTTTTCACTTTTATAACTAATTGATTGTAATATAAGACTTAACATTAGTTAATATATACTGTACTGTATTATCAATTAGGTTTGAGATATAATTTATAACATTTAACAAATGTTTTTTAGAACTTTTCCTTACATTTCTATACTTTTGAACAAAACTTTATTAATGTGTTATATTTTTAATAAAATTTATTACATTTAATGTGCACTTATACTTTGTAGACATATCAAGGAATCTATTTTAATGTTTAAAAATATTTACAAATTCTGATAGTTTCCTGATCAATTCAATTATATAGCAAGTAATGTCAAAAACATATCTTTATCATCCTGGTGTTTATTAGAGTCTAATAAATCTTATTTGAGTGCCTGCCCTCATTTACATCAAATAAGAAATAAATATTATTTAATTATATAAATATTTACAAATTCTGATAGTTTCCTGATCAATTCAATTATATAGCAAGTAATGTCAAAAACATATCTTTATCATCCTGGTGTTTATTAGAGTCTAATAACTAGACAAAGATCTTATTTGAGTGCCTGCCCTCATTTACATCAAATAAGAAATAAATATTATTTAATTATATAAATATTTACAAATTCTGATAGTTTCCTGATCAATTCAATTATATAGCAAGTAATGTCAAAAACAT